TGCTTCTCCCTCTGACCCTCCCCCCTCTCATGTTCTCTCTCTCTCAAATAAATAAATAAAATCTTTAAAAAAAAAAAAAAGAAAGAAAATATAGCCAATGGTATTGTAACACTGTTGCATGGTGACAGATGGGAGCTTCATTTGTGGTGAGCATAGCATAATGTATAGAGTTGTCCAATCACTATGTTGTATGCCTGAAACTAATGTACCATTGTGTATCAACCCTACTTCAACTGAAAAAAAAGTTCTATTTTAATGAATGGGAAATTGTATGATGTTAATGTATGTTAAATAATCATACATTATCTTCAAATAAATAAATTAGTAAATGAATTTGTAAATAAATTGTTGTTTTTTTAATTAAGTAGGCCCTGTGCCCAACAGGGGACTCGAACTCACAACCCTGAGATCAAGAGTTGCATGCTCTACCAACTGAACCAGCCAGGCACCTCTATTTGTTTTTGTTTTTGTTTTTGTTTTTTTTCAACGGATGAACGTAATTATACTATAGTGAAGGGTTAAGGTTTACAATGCTTACCTTGAAGTAAAGACTCAATAAACATGCCTTTGTTTTTACCATGTTTCACATATTTAATAAAATAAGCTAATTAGAAACCAATGTATTTCAAATGTGCCAACTAAAAATAAGTATAATATTCTTCTTCATTGTTTCCAGGTGCTTAGCAAACTTTACCAATAGTCCTTCATTGCCTTGGATTAATTTACAGATAGGAATTAATACCAATAATAAGAATATGCATTTTTTTATACATCTTAAACTGTGAAACAAGCTTGGATTCTCTGTTTTTCAGACATCAGGGGGAGGAAGTTTCTTCTCAGTGGAAAAATGTATTCATCTTATCCTAGAGTAAAGAAAATAGTGAACAAATCAGTAAGTTTTTACTTTGGGGAAATGCTCTTTAATCCCAACCCCATTTCAATCTAAATTTGATTTAATATTCCCAACAGTATTTCATTTGGTAGAGCAGAATATAAAAGCCACACCCATGTGATCCAGGTAACTAACAAACCCACTGCTCAGTCTTCCAGACCCGCATTGCTCAGAGTACAGTGTCCAGACTAGTCGTGTTGGCATCACCTGGGAGCTGGTTAGAAATGCAGAATCCCAGGGACACCTGGGTGGCTCCGTTGGTTAAGCATCCAACTCTTGATTTCAGCTCAGGTCCTGATCTCATGGGTTGTGAGATCAAGCCCTGTGTCGGGCTCCATGCTCAGTGGGAGTCTGCTTGAGATTCTCTCTCCCCCTTACCCTCTGACCTTTCCCCCACTTGTGTGCATGTGCGTGTGCATGCGCTCTCTCAAATGAATAAATAAAGCTTAAAAAAAAAAAAAGGAAGGGAAGAAAGAAACGCAGAATCCTGGACCCCACCCCAGACCTACTGTATCAGAATCTAAATCTTAGTAAGATACCCATACCATTTGTAGACACATTAAAGCTTCAGAAGTACTGGGCTAGACAACTTTAGTTGTTATATGCCACAGAACAAGAAGGAAATGATAGAAGAAAAGGAATAAAATTTGTTAGTATGATGAAGATAGCGGATGCTTTGCAGTTTCTAACAGCAACGTGTTTTAGAACTAAAATTAGATGATTGTGATTCTAATTTTCAATTTTAAATAATGTGTATTAAATGTTGGAAGAGTCACAACTACAATGACCATGTTGTTCATGAGAAAGAGGAAAAAAAGCTCAAGTGAACAGGAAAAAGGTGAGTGAGGACCGGCTGAGTTATCTAACGGAAGTATACTTTACGAGAGAAGTTCCTGGAAATATTGTAATCCATGGAAAACCTGTCTTTGAAAGCATCAGTTCTAAGGTGTATATACAATATATGCAACTTTTCATGACTGACACACTAAAATCAATAGGTTCCATCACTGTTCCCTCTACTGTTTACATTCTGTTTAATTTGGCAGACTCAAATAGGGAAAACCATATACTTTTGTGGAGGGAGAGATTTATGTGGGTTAGCAGCAAGATGATTCTGAACATACAGTAAGCATCCAACATACACTTCTTGGTTTGTCATTCATTGGTCATTCTCGTGACAAAAAGGGATCAAGTACCTACTGTGCCAGGCACCATGCTAAGTGCATGGTGTTAGTGGAAAGAGACATAGTTCATGCTTTCCTGGAGTTTCTGATAGTGTATGAATTACTGCTGATCAGTTTTTTAAAATTATCTGTGGACATTGTTCATCTATGATATTTCTGTGCCTCGCATCTACCTCTTTTGATAATGAGAAGTCTAATTCTTCATTATCAGTCTGATTCATGTAGATTGATCACATTGTGATTTGTATAGCAGATGGTAGGAGTTGATATGGCAAAATGCAGCTGATAACTTACAGAAATGAAGCTGAGATATATAACTATAGCAGTTATATATTATAATATGATCACTATTGGGGCACCTGGGTGGCTCAGTTGGTTAAGCATCCTACTCTTGATTTCAGCTCAGGTTATGATCTCAGGGTCGTGAGATCGAGCCCTGTGTTGGCCCTGGGCTGGGTGTAGAACCTGCTTAAGATTCTCTCTCTCCCTCTCCTTACCCTCCCACCCCTGCTCGCACACATATGTTCTCTCTCTCTCTCTCTCAAAAAAAAAAAGTTTATAACATGATCACTGTAAGTGCTTGACATGGGCTGTAGATAGAGGCCTGGAGGCTGCTAGGAAGGTAGTGTGGATGAGTAAAAATGAGTGGTAGCAATGAACAAGTCTCTCCTAAGTTGTATGGATGAAAATAATGCAATTATGGTCAAAGTCAGACACGCATTTTTTAAAATCATACGTCCCCGCCTGATGAATTGGGTCATCTATTGGAGTTTTATATCTTCACATGAAGGTAATTTGTTCTTCAAACCAGTCTTACAATACGGCATTTAGAAAACATTCATTTTTAAAATAAATAGGTTTGGGAGTTTTCTTGGAATGATGAATTTATCCACTATAATTAGAACCTGACAAATTGGGTGGAAAGTTGAAATAAACAGCCCCCGATGGGCAAGAGGCCCAGACTTGAGTTGAATCAACCCTCACTTCAGGACACTGCTATCTTTGTGGATTTTGAGTGTAGTTGTCTCCCAGGATGGTTCCAACCCCACATTCCCTCAGCCCTGGCATTTGTGCGGGTTTAACTACCACCCCCACTGGTTCCGCCCTTGTTGTCCAGGGACTAGAAGTTACTGGAAGTTAAGAGCATTGTCTCAGAAGTCAGAGGGACACAGGTTTGTAGTTCTGGCCTCACCGCCTCCTAGACACAGGATCTTGAGTAATGTAATGTCTCTGTGCCTCAGTTTCCTCACTGGGAAAATGGAGATTAAAACTCTCATCTTATGCGATCATGTGAATTACATAGCTACATAAAACACTGTTGTGCCCCGCACATGGTAAATGGTGGCTACTACTACTTTATTATAGAACCCAAATCTCCATATTAGTTCCTTTTTGCTACATGAATCCCCTTTAGTAACAAGTTTTGTTTTGGTTTTTTTCTTTCTTTGACTATGAGACTCAGTCTCTTAGGGACTACATATTCTCCCTACTGAATTCAGATCTTAGAGGTTGCCTCCCAGGAGGCCCTTCTCCTTTGTGCCACTTTTTCTGAGCTCTCACCCCATTCCAGGTTCAACAGACTCCCCAGCTCTTGGGCACAGTTTGGCTCATAGAGGCAATAATATCTAGTGGTTAAAAGCCGCTGGAGACCGGCTGTCTGGGTTCCGATCTCAGAACGTCCTTTCACTAGCTGAGTGGCTCTCAGTAGATTATTCAACCTTGCTGTGCCTCAGTTTCCTAACCTATAACACGAATTGTACCTGTTTCACATGATTCTTGTAAAGATTAAAGAGATCATTATACATGAAGAATCTAGAATAAGAAGTGTCATATAGCATTTGCTATTACGAGTCATTTCTTGGGTGAAATTATCCAAGCTTGGCATTTACCCACTTCTCTCTTCTCATTCTAGGGTAACCTCCCAATTGTAGAGCTACTTTTAGGATTTGTATACCCCATTTCAGGTCCCTAGAGTATCTGGACACTGCTTATGCTTCTATGCCAAGACCCCTGCGTTCTCCACATCCTGCCACCAGTTTCCCGGCAGACACTGGTTATGACAGTGAGGAATGAGTAATATTTTGTTCCAACCTTTATGTCTGTGAGGAACAGTGCACCGGACCCAGCTGGGTGGCCTTTTACCTCAACTAGGGAGAAACTCGGGGAGCCCGGCAAAGTAGTTGCCTGACTCTTCCTTAATTCCCTCGTCTCCGTTTCCTCATTTCCACCAGTAAGCAAAGATCTGAAAAAAAGGGACAGTGCAAGATTCCTCCCCACCCAGGCTGGCTGTGTGCCAGAAAGGCTTCCTGCATAAAAAGTATAGAGTCCGGAGGGTAACTCAAGAGTATGAACTTCTGTTGTATCCGGGGGGAATTTGTTCAGCTGAACTATTAACTGTTTGAGTTCTATAATGAGGTAATGTAGCTAAGCTAAAAGTAACTCGGGAGAAGCAAATCAAAAGAAGATTGCATCTTGGGGCGCCTGAGTGGCTCACTTGGTTAAGCCTCTGCCTTCGGCTCAGGTCATGATCCCAGGGTCCTGGGATCGAGCCCCATGTCCAGCTCTCCACTCAGTGGGGAGTCTGCTTCGCCCTCTCCCTCTGTGCTCTCTCTCTTTCTCAAATAAATAAAATCTTAAAAAAAAAAAAGGAGATTGCACTGAGAACTTGAAATAAAGCATACACCACTGGGCTGTGAGCTAATCAGCGCACTCGGGGCTTTCAGTAGAAGTCAAGAGTATCAGGATCTTACTTCTCAGCCCTCCATGCCTCGAATAGTACTTGGCTTGTGGCAGCAAACTGTTTCCGCTCAGCAGTCCCGGCTTCAAGCCTCCCACGGGGAGATTCCTTTTAATGCTCCAAATCCCTTCCAGGGCCACTGTCAATATTTTCAGAAGCAAGATGACAATTATTAGCTGAGTTCCTTTTCAGCGCAACATCTTTTAGAAGTATTTACTGGGTGATTATTTTTTCAGTCATTTGGGTGGAAGTTGATTTTGTTTGATTAATCAAACCACCCAAGATCTTTAGCATTTGTTTAATCTTTTATTTCAGTTCATTCATTCAATTATTCCATAGGCAGTTAAGCCTCTACAGTGCTATTAGATCATTTAGCTGGCCCCTGAAGACATAGATGAAAAGTCAGTATAGAAACATATATAACAAAACACAAAAGGATCAGAAATAAATTAGTTAATATAGACACTTCATGCGGCCAGCCCTGATTCTAATTCCTCGAAATACAAATATTTCCAAAGAAAATATAACCAAAAGTTACCATATTAATTCATCATATACATTCAGCTATCACCTAAAAGACTGAACTAGATGCTATTTAATTGCCCCTTGAATGAAAACAACAAGCTCACTGGAAAACACCAGAGACAAATACTCGGGATGCGATGTCTATGCATTGATACAAAGCAAATCGTACTCTTAAGTCCTGATACCATCCAGTAAGTATTGTTTTAGTGATTTTATTTGCACTGGATTATTCTCCATATCCTAAAAGCACTTATTTAGCTCTTGAGAGTCAGTCAACAAGCTTTTGGGGAAAATCTGTCATGTAGAAAACTGTGACCCAAGTCAAATAAGGTTATTCAGGTTAAATACATTGTTTTTACCATTTCTGAAGCTGCAAATTATGCCCAAATATTCTCCACAGATCTGAGGCCGCCTACTGGTATCCACACTAACATCTGATTCCTCCCCAAAGGATTCTGTACCTTGTAGTGGTTAGGGGCATGGTGTTTAGGGTCAGAAGGGATCTGGATTTGTCTTCGCTTCACCACCTGCCAGTTGTATGGCTTTGAGCAAGTTATTGAACCCACCATGTCTCTGTTTCCTCAGCTTTGAAATGGGGATAATATCTAGCTTGAAGAATTATTATAGGATCTGGATGAAATGGATTTAAAGTGCTTTGCATTCAATAAATGGTAACTATTATTTTTATAGGGACAATGATTTTCCTGTCCAAGCATGGACTCAGATTCTGTTTCTGGAAGCAGAATCAATGAGCTGACTCACCAAGTGGAATGTCGATATTTGCCTCTTCCTCCCCACTCCTGAATGGAGTTAGCTGAAGGTATCTGGCAAAGTTCCTTTCTTCCCCCTCCTTCAAAGACCTTCAAGGAAGACTCCACAATCTCCTTCTGTCAAGACCTTACAAAGTTTAAGCTGTTCCTTATATCTAACCCAAATCTTTCCCCACCCTTCCAGCCAGTTTCCTCTTCTTCTATCCTGTCCCTTAGAGACAGTAAAGAGCTGCTCTCCAGCCCCTGGATAATAGACTCAGATTTAGGAGTCCACCGATATTTATTAAATGCCTCCTGTGTACAACACCCAGTAAGAAAGCAAGGAAATGGATTTAGATTTGTTCCACATTGAGAGAAGTTCTGGCAAATGGAAAACATTTTGACATCAGGAGGCAGAACTATGTAGAAAAACCACATTAAATTAGATAGAAAAATTATACTAATCTAATCAAGTTGTGCTCTTTCAGATGCAACCTGAAATCCAGGTCTGGAAGTTTACAACTTAATAGGGAAAATACCTTAAATGTAAATGCAGATGCTCAGAAATGCATGAGAAAAATAAAAGCAAAATATAGTTATGTATAAGTATTTACTGTTCTCAGGAATAGAGATTGCTGGAAAAAAACAGTGCTACTTTGATTTGATATGTTTGGGTGAAGAAGTTACAGAGGTGAGGGTGCCTGGGTGGCTCAGTTGGTTAAGCGACTGCCTTCGGCTCAGGTCATGATCCTGGAGTCCCGGGATCGAGTCCCGCATCGGGCTCCCTGCTC